CAAATCTCTCAAATTCCAAATTTCCCAAATTCCAAATCTCTCAAATTTCAAATTTCCCAAATTCCAAATCTCTCAAATTCCAAATTTTCCCAATTCCAAATTTCCCAAATTGCAAATTTCCAAAATTCCAAAATTCAAGATTTCAAGAATGAAAATCGCAAAATTGCCAAATTCTAAAATTCAAAAAATTCAACGCCACAAATTAGTAGGTATTTCTCCCAGCACGATTCAATCTGTTGCACGAAAATTCATTAGTCGATTATCAAATTTGATTACTTCTTTAATCGCCCATTAGCTAAATATAAATCTGCCTATCACTTTTAAATCAGAGTTCCTTCAATTAACAACCTCAACCATTGAATGAGAAAGAAGAATAAATGTTATTGTTATCAGGTTTTTCCCGATCGGTCTTTCATTAGCGATTAAGCTGTTTGTTGTTAAATAAAATGAATAGTGATTTTAGCAATCAGTGGTATCGCAAAATCGTGATTCTTTCCTGATAATAATCGATAAAATTTCATGATATTTTTGTCGTGTCTATACACACATGTTCGCGTGTGAAAAAATAATGAACTTCGCAGTTATAAATCTAAATTGACAATTAATCTCAACCATGCATTAACTGGTACTCGAGATAACCTGAATACTGAACGATAACAATTTCTTCAACGTTCTTCCGTATCGAGTAAAAGTTCTGTCTCTAAATTGCATGACATTTTTACGAAACATTGAAACGATACTATTATCCGAGAAAGACGAACAACACATAAATCCACATTTTACAGTTACACATTTTTAAACAGCGATTGATAAGATAAATCGATCAGGACAAGTCAATTAAGATGAACCAATGCTTTATTTATCGGAATCACTCGTCAATCACCGACACCAAAAATCCTGTCTTATCGTTTCCGAAACAGAGGGAAAAACCGAGACTCTATTTTATACAACTTCTTGAAATAACGTTGTACTCTTATCATGTAGTAAAATTATTTATGAATCTAAACAAAAATATGGTGCAAATCTCAAATACTTTCTTTTTAATTTTTCTTTTGAAGGGCGGGCTAATGACCACAGTAGTCGACGCCCGCAACAAGAATCAATCAATCAATCTTCTGAAGGTAACTGTGTTTGTTGATTAAATGTGGTCATGTTAAAAATAAAATATCATTCAAGTTAATGAATGATATCTGGTTGGAGATGTATTGATTTATTAGAGAAACATGTTTTTATTTATTGTAGTTTGAACATTTCAATTATTATACGAACACATATGGTGCATCTACATATAGGGCACATATCGTACACATATGTCGTACATATAGCATATTCATATTATTTTAGTATGATGATATAGCATATATACATTATACTAATCTAACAATATATGCTTTATTATCATATCAAAGTTATATGTATATGTTATATGTATACCATATGTGTAGCATACGTGCACACATATGTAGTGCGTATGTAGATGCACCATATGTGTTCTTATATTAATTGAAATGTTCATATATGTATATATTTATTTATTCTGATATAATAATATAGCACATAATACTCCAAAACGTTAATTGAAGTCTAAAGTCGAAAACCGTAAATTAAATTATTTTGATAAATTTATTTATTAAATCTTAAATTTATTATTTAAATCTTAATACAAGCTCAAGATAAAGAGTCAACTGACTTTATTAAGCAAGTGCTATTTTGATTTCGCACATATCGAACAGACTATATCGACAAACACAGAGACAAAGGTATGTATTACGTTGCCAAATACAAAGTAGGCTCCAATCACAGTCTACGGTATAGGCTTTGCACACGATCTCAGATTATCAATCAACGTTTGAAACCTTATCAGAAAATAATTAATCGCGACGATCTAGATCAATCACGAAATCGACGTATTGATACAACACAGATCTATCTATCTAATCTTGAGAGTCGCGAAACCGACTTCCTCAGTTTTGAAAGACCACGACGGGATATATAAAATAGCCTTCTCGAGATATTCAGCACACTCTTCTGAGAACGATTCGCACAGGAGGAACCATGCTTTTAACGACCGCGTCCTTATTTGCGCTTTTGAGCGTCTGCAACGGTGAGTAGTCAAGTTTACTTATATTTTGGTTTGTTTGGTGCGTTGGAAACAGTTTTGGAAAGGTAGGCAATATTTTGGAGTGAGAATTTGGAAACTTGGGGGTTTGAGGATTTGAGGATTTGAGGATTTGAGGATTTGAGGATTTGAGGATTTGAGGATTTGAGAATTTGAGGATTTGATGATCTGAGGATTTGAAGATTTGAGGATTTCAAGATTTGAGAATTTCAAGATTTGTGAATTTCTAGATTTGTGAATTTGAGGATTTCAAGATTTAAGAATTTCAAGATTTGAAAATTTCAAGATTTGAGAATTTCAAGATTTGTGGATTTGAGGATTCGAGTGTTTGAGGATTATGGAATTTGGAATTTTGAAAATTCCAACATTTTTGAAATTTGGAAATGTAGAGAGTTGGAAACGTGAGGATTTAGAAACGTAGAGATTTGGATCTTTTAGAATTTAGAAGTGTGAGGAGTTGAAAATGTGGAAATTTAGAAATGTGAGAAGTTGAAAATGTAGAAATCTGAAAATATGAGGAGTTGGAAATGTGGAAATCTAGAAATGTGAGGAGCTAGAATTGTGGAAATTTAGAATTGTAAGAAGTTGGAAATGTGGAAATCTAGAAACGTGAGAAATTGCAAACGTGAGAATTAGAAAAAATATTAATTTAGAAATGAAGAAATTTAAAATTTAGAAATTTAGAAGTTTGAAAATTGACAAGTAAAATACTGGCAGCTGCAATCTGCGCGATTAAATAGAGCTAACAAGTACAGCAATTGGTAGCACCCTACATTAATGAACAACGGCTCATCCGCAATCACCGCGGTATTAATTATTCTACACTGTAATTATTTACACAGCTGGGTTGCTGAGATTCGATCCAAGGATCGTGAACGGAGAAGATGCTAAGTTAGGAGAAATTCCGTACCAGGTGAGTTGTTTTAACAACGTAACATACCTTGTCAAATAGAGAAATTCTGACGGTGCACTGCTGCGGTATTTATTGTACGCTCTGCTTTAATAAAATTTTAATTCTTTCTTGCTATAAATAGTTCTTTATTTTTTAGAAAAGTCGCGTTTCAATTTATTGTATGAACTTGTTTAAAATATTTTTATTTATTGCAAATTTTGTATTCTTTTATATTGGTACATAGGCATAATACAGATTCTGATATTTAGAGATATATCTATTGTTAATTAAAATTTAGTTATAGTTGCATTATGTGAGGTAATGCAATGAATTGGAAATGCAAAAAATATTTGTTTAATAAGATAGAAGTAACTTACATAAGTGTTTACTTTTAACAAGTATTATTATATGTAAAAATATATATACCGATTTTTGAATAATATTAAATCTGCAAATATTAATAATCCTATTACAATTAATAATTCTATTAATATCGAAAGTCTGTTTCTTTAAAGTACACTAAATGTTTATAAATAATATTTGAGCACCAAAATAAAATTTCTCCAATAAACAAAACATTTAATTAAAAATATAACTGTCCGCATGAATTATTTCAAACAAACAACCTCATCCTTTGAATGGTCGTAAATTAACATATTTAACCATGCGTTTGTAGGTGTCCCTCCAAAATAAAGACAGTTCGTTCCATTTCTGTGGCGGATCCGTTCTTAACGAAAACTATGTCATCACCGCAGCTCATTGCGTTTCTGGGTAAGTATTAAAATTCTCCCAAAACTCCCTATTAACATACGTACTCACATAAGAAATGTTTCTTAAAGCAAAACGCCAGCAGGCATTAAAGTCATTGCTGGTACCATTAACTTAACCCAACCAAAGTCTGAACACAACGTCGTAAAGATCATCAGCCACGAACAATACAACGAGAATGACTCGTGGAAGAACGACATCGCTCTTCTCAAGGTATTCAAAATAATAATATTTGTCGGATTACATAGAGAAATTCGTTTCCGATCTTTTAGAGCTAAATCGTTATTTCCACAGGTCGAGAAACCGTTCGTGAAATCCAAACAAATTGCTTTCGTACCTCTGCCATCGAAATCCGATGTTATTCACGCTAATGATATCGCTGTTGTCTCTGGATGGGGTAGACTCTCGGTAAGTTAAAAATTAATTAACATTAGGAGATATTTAAATTTCAATTGTTCTTGAAGTAAATCTTTATATTTACATTTCTTATTTCTGTTAGAAATTTTTACTTTTGATATTTATGTTCATTGTTTACTGCTTCTTTTCACTTTTGGCATTTTTATTGGTGACCCTTTCAAATTTTCACTTTCAGTACTTGTATTTTTATTTACAATTGTCAGTTAGCTAAAAATATCGCATACTGTTTCAAATTTTCACTGTCAGTGCTTGCAGTATTTTTATTTAAAATTTTCAATCTGTTAAAAATATCGCTTACTGCTTCAAATTTTCACTGTCAGCGCTTTTATCATTTTTATTTTAAATTTTCAATCAGCTAAAAATTTCGCTTACTATTCCAAATTTTTACTTTCAATACTTTCAACATTTTTACCTTCAATTTTCAATTAGTTAAAAATATCGCTTTCTATTTCAAATTTACATTTCCAGTACTTTCATCATTTTTACCTTGAATTTTCAATTAGCTAGAAAAAGCGCTTACTATTTCAATCTCCCACTTCCAGTACTTTCATAATGCTCATTAAAAATTTTCCATTAGTTAGAAATGAATTTATAAAAATAAATAAAGGAGGTATTGATTGTCCTTGATTCCATAAATTTAAACTCGAGTAATCATAAAAATGTATACTAAAAATTACAGCTTGGAGGTCCAACGACTGTTCGCCTCCAACGAGTGAACATCTACATCGCCGACCCCGAATACTGCCGATACATATACAACAAACGCGGCTACAACATCTATGACAGTCACGTTTGCGCTTATGACCCAAGCACGGCGAAGGGATCTTGCAACGTAAGTTGTATACAATATCCGTTATTAACTAGACGTCACACGTAGACAAGAGCTGAAAAGATTGCTCTTAAAAAAAGTACACCAAGAAATGCTACTAGTTGATATCAGCTTCGATAAATGAAACGATAAGTGACTCTTGTATTGTTTCTTGAGGGCTCATGTAGTGATAACAGCTTAAAGAAGTATCTGATAGTAACATAGGAAAATCGTCCATTTGGAAAAAGAACTCTAAATTGAAATATAAAAATTAATGAAAAATTAACGTTATATTGATGTATTAATCTAATGGATTTTTGTTTGCTTCTACATATTTACTTCTTTCTATTTACTTTGTCTTTTATTTATCTGATATTTTATTTTGCAAAATTTCCATTTGGTCTAAATAATCAGAAGTACTTTATTAAAGTGAAATGTATACATAATGATCCGAATGCATAAATATTTTAGTTAGTACAAATAATTTTGTAAGATCAAATCAAGCTCTGTTAGTATAATATTGTTTATATAAGATTCGTTATTTGTTTCTTTTTAAATTTGATTCTATCAAGAAATGAACGTACGTAGGTGAGACTAATATTTACTTTGGTAAGAGAAGAGTATCTAATAGAGCGACTGAATTGTGTTAAATGCAGAAGCCATTAGAGCTTAGTAGTAAGGTGTTAGCTGACCTTCATAAACGCATAAACCCATAAGCACTTGCTTAAACACGGCTATCACTTTACCACAAGGCTATAATAGATTTCACCATTAAATCAATTCGAACAGTTAACTGGACATTAAGAAAACCTAACACGAATCTCGCATTTAGTTTGCGATATCGGAGCATTGAGGATTTTGGGGGTGACTTGAGAAATTGGGGAATTGAGAATTTTGGGACTTGAGAATTAGGGGACTTGAGAATTTGGGAACTGAAGAATTTGGGGATTTGAGAATTTGGGAACTGAAGAATTTGGAGATTTGAGAGTTTAGGGATTTGAGAATTTGGGGACTTGAGAATTTGGGGACTGAAGAAATTTGGGAACTGCAGAATTTGGGGATTTGAGAATTTAGGGATTTCATAATTTGGGAACTTGAGAATTTGCATATTTGAGAATTGGGGACTTCAGAATTTGAAAATTTGTGAATTTGGAGACATAACAATTTAAGGATTTGAGAATTTAAGGATTTATGAATTTGAAGATTTGTGAATTTGAGAATTGTAGATTTGGGAGATTGCGAATTGGGGGGCTTGAGGATTACGGAATTTGAGCATTTTGGGATTTTAAAATTTTCTAAAATAAATTTGTGAATGTTATAGGGTGACTCTGGTGGTCCATTGACTGTCAACGGAAAACTCACGGGTCTCGTATCTTGGGCAATGGGTTGTGCCCGCACTGACTACCCAACTGTCTACACACGTGTAGCATCTCATCTCGACTGGATAAAATCACACGCCGTTTAAATGCAACCACTGAAACGTAAATCGAACATCAACCGCAACAAAAAAAAATACAAGTGAAAATCCAAGTTTTGACGAGCTAGTGAACATGAAGTGAAATTGTTTGAACAATTTGGATATTGAGTCTGATATTCCTCAAGTATTATTCTTTGTACAGCTCTCAGTGTATCATAAATACCAATAAACTGTTCAAATTATATATATGAAGAATATTAATATCTCCCTAATTTCAAAATTATGAAATTTCAAACTTTGAAATTTCCAAATTTCCCAAATATCTAAAATTCCAAATTTTCCAAATTCCAAATTTCTCAAATTCCAAATCTCTCAAATTCCAAATATCTCAAATTCCAAATCTCTCAAATTCCAAATCTCTCAAATTCCAAATCTCTCAAATTCCAAATCTCTCAAATTCCAAATCTCTCAAACCAAATCTCCCAAATTCCAAATCTCCCAAATTCCAAATCTCCCAAATTCCAAATCTCCCAAATTCCAAATCTCCCAAATTCCAAATCTCCCAAATTCCAAATCTCCCAAATTCCAAATCTCCCAAATTCCAAATCTCCCAAATTCCAAATCTCCCAAATTCCAAATCTCCCAAATTCCAAATCTCCCAAATTCCAAATCTCCCAAATTCCAAATCTCCCAAATTCCAAATCTCCCAAATTCCAAATCTCCCAAATTCCAAATCTCCCAAATTCCAAATCTCCCAAATTCCAAATCTCCCAAATTCCAAATCTCCCAAATTCCAAATCTCCCAAATTCCAAATCTCCCAAATTCCAAATCTCCCAAATTCCAAATCTCCCAAATTCCAAATCTCCCAAATTCCAAATCTCCCAAATTCCAAATCTCCCAAATTCCAAATCTCCCAAATTCCAAATCTCCCAAATTCCAAATCTCCCAAATTCCAAATCTCCCAAATTCCAAATCTCCCAAATTCCAAATCTCCCAAATTCCAAATCTCCCAAATTCCAAATCTCCCAAATTCCAAATCTCCCAAATTCCAAATCTCCCAAATTCCAAATCTCCCAAATTCCAAATCTCCCAAATTCCAAATCTCCCAAATTCCAAATCTCCCAAATTCCAAATCTCCCAAATTCCAAATCTCCCAAATTCCAAATCTCCCAAATTCCAAATCTCCCAAATTCCAAATCTCCCAAATTCCAAATCTCCCAAATTCCAAATCTCCCAAATTCCAAATCTCCCAAATTCCAAATCTCCCAAATTCCAAATCTCCCAAATTCCAAATCTCCCAAATTCCAAATCTCCCAAATTCCAAATCTCCCAAATTCCAAATCTCCCAAATTCCAAATCTCCCAAATTCCAAATCTCCCAAATTCCAAATCTCCCAAATTCCAAATCTCCCAAATTCCAAATCTCCCAAATTCCAAATCTCCCAAATTCCAAATCTCCCAAATTCCAAATCTCCCAAATTCCAAATCTCCCAAATTCCAAATCTCCCAAATTCCAAATCTCCCAAATTCCAAATCTCCCAAATTCCAAATCTCCCAAATTCCAAATCTCCCAAATTCCAAATCTCCCAAATTCCAAATCTCCCAAATTCCAAATCTCCCAAATTCCAAATCTCCCAAATTCCAAATCTCCCAAATTCCAAATCTCCCAAATTCCAAATCTCCCAAATTCCAAATCTCCCAAATTCCAAATCTCCCAAATTCCAAATCTCCCAAATTCCAAATCTCCCAAATTCCAAATCTCCCAAATTCCAAATCTCCCAAATTCCAAATCTCCCAAATTCCAAATCTCCCAAATTCCAAATTTCCCAAATTCCAAATATCCCAAACTCCAAATTTAAAAAATGTCAAAAATCTAAAATTCCAAGACCCCAAAATTCCCAAGCTTCAAAAATCCCATTTCCAACTCTCACACAAACCTCCAAAATAATTCATTTCACTCGTACGATTCCCATTATTACCAATCTCGAGCTACTACAAAAAATCTTGCGTTCCATCATAGAACGCTAGTGTCGATAAAATAACGGAGCTTAATCGGAATTAAAATATTCAGCCCCCTTTTTCCATTGTAATTTAACTTTGAAAAGATCGTAATCAACGGGTATATAAGAGAACAGCCACTTTTAGTCTCCATCAATCTAATTTCTTGCTCCCATCAACGAACGAGCCATTATTTCGACGCTGCTGTTCCTTTTTGTGGCTTTGACAGCTACCAGAGGTAAGTAAAAGCCAATTTAGTAAGAATTGTTACATGCAAGTTTCCCATTCCATATCCCTATAAAAACGATCATTCCGATACATCAGCTATCTACTTTCGTCGTTATAATCGACGCTTTAATTGTCGTTGTTAATTTCCAGTTAATCACGAAATCAATGAAACGACTAACAGTTATCGTTTTACTCGTTCTCGTTCTTTCTTGCTTGGACTGTTTGCTATTCGCCTGCAATCATGTTCGAAAATTTGCGCCGAATTGGCAGCTGCATCGACATCGATTGCATTTTGATTCCGCTTTTGTGTTTACACGAGTAGTCTGAAATCCAATAGCATCATAATTCACATGTTTGTAATGCATTCAGATTATTCGCGCGAACGCGTTCACGTCACACAAGAAGCGAGACAGTTCGTGCATCTCTCTGTCACGGCTGCCATGAAATCCGATATAATTGCATTGATGTCATAAAATAAACGCATTTATTAATGAGTATACGCGTAAAGACCGCTGACGATTTAAAATCAAGAAGGGGATGAAAATATTGTTGAAAATATTAATATCGAATGAAATTGATACTTTGAGGTGCGCTTTAATGTGATTGTTTACGGGTCGTTTACCTTAGGTATTGTGTATAGTGGACTCTCGTTATATTGCAACAATGCCACTTCGTCGTTGTTATACTAGAAAGCCACTCACTCGCGTGGGTACAAATAGAAATGTGCAGAGAAAGCCCACATACGACTTTTGTTCTTAACCCCTTCATAACCTATAACCCCTTTCGCAACCCCTTGTGTTATGATTTATTTGTCAGGTACGTTTGACTAATCACAGCCAGAATATTAAAACAGACAAAGGAAGTTGAAATATTATTTCAATTTATTATCGACTGTGCAAATTATAATTGGACTTGTATTTCAAATTAAAGCGTATTACAAATTTGAGTAAAATTCATAACAGTTACGAGTGCGTCAAACTCGTTAAAATAGTGCAAAAAATTAAAATGGGCCAAAACCCTTAGAAAAATTGTTAAAATTAAATTGTTGCTGAGAGGTAACTGCCGGAGTACATAAGGGGTGCAAACCTTAATGAACGAAAACGAGTTGTGTTACTAACTTCAAGAAATTTTAATTATCGATACATTTCTGATTAATATAAGGAGATTTTACTGGAGTAATATAACGACAATATAACGGGAGTCTATTGTAAAAAACACAGTGGAGCTGCAATATAACGGGAGTCTATTATACAAAACACATTGGTTTGTATATCTATAGACTATTATTAATCGTCCAGATTAATCATTCAGGCTCCACAGACTAATATTAGTCTGTACGTATACTGATTAACACTAAACCTACCGGCGTATAATGTGTACTGAATTCGAGATAGAAAATGAAGTCAAAAAATAAATAAGCAAATGACAAAACATAAATTTGTGCACACATTAATTCTTCATTTTGATGGAGGTCAGTGCAGATATCAGAAGAATCAGTTCAACAAATTATGTAATTTATAATAAGGATCTTGTGAAACGGTCATTTGACCGGTTTGGTAGTTTTAGTGTTAATGATAAGAGTAACATTAGTATTAATATTAGTATTAATAATAATCCTTTATGATTTCAAAAGAACAAAGGATTCAACGAAGAGCATCAAAGCGAGCGAAATTAAGAAACCCAAAACTTCTCAAACAAAAGTGAGTTATTATAAGAAGGTACCCTAAAGATGGTATTGCAAAACCCTTTAGTCTAACGAAAACGTGAAAGTTGGAACTGCCCCAGGCCATCTGAAGCAATGACCTCTTCTGAAAAGCGTCCTACGAAACGAATTCGTCTTCCTTCGTTGTTTGGTTTGCTCGAAGCTTCATTTCGGTGGTAGACGATCGATAGATATTTCAAAATGGGAAGCATTGACGTTTCTGCGCGGAACATTTATAACCATTCGAGACTGTATGTGTGTTGAACATAGGTATTTATGTTTTAACGCTCTCAAAATAAAAGAAAGATGGCTGAGTTTAGAAAAAAGGTATTACTATTTTATCCATGGGAAGTAATCGAAAATAGTTCATGGTGTAAAAATTGAAGTGTGCATTTTATCGATTTTAATGAAAATAGAATTTAAATAGTGTGACGTAGACGTTAAGATTCTTCGATGATATTGGAAATATTTTAAGATTGAAGGTAGGGGACATTCGAGATCCAATACACTAAATTTTTAAATTTGATTTTTTGAATTTATGAATTCCAAACTCCCCAAATTTCAAAATCCCCAAATTGCAAACTTCCCAAATTCCAAATTCCCCAAATTTCAAAGTCCCCAAATTGCAGACTTCCCAAATTCTAAAATCCCCAAATTCCAAACTCCCCAAATTTCAAACTCCCCAAATTCCCAAATCTCCCCAAATTCCAAAATCCCCAAATTCCAAAATCCCCAAAATCCAAAATCCCCAAAATCCAAAATCCCCAAAATCCAAAATCCCCAAATTCCAAACTCCCCAAATTCCAGACTCCCCAAATTCCAAACTCCCTCAATTCCAAAAATCCCCAAATTCCAAACTTCCCAAATTCCAAAGTGCCCAAATTCCAAATTCCCCAAATTTCAAAGTCCCCAAATTGCAGACTTCCCAAATTCTAAAATCCCCAAATTCCAAACTCCCCAAATTTCAAACTCCCCAAATTCCCAAATCTCCCCAAATTCCAAAATCCCCAAATTCCAAAATCCCCAAATTCCAAAATCCCCAAATTCCAAAATCCCCAAATTCCAAAATCCCCAAATTCCAAAATCCCCAAATTCCAAAATCCCCAAATTCCAAAATCCCCAAATTCCAAAATCCCCAAATTCCAAAATCCCCAAATTCCAAAATCCCCAAATTCCAAAATCCCCAAATTCCAAAATCCCCAAAT